AACATAATTAGTAAACTGTTTTGAGTCTAGACATTTTTAAATCTAAAGAACTAATGAAAAATTACTTACCCAATTTTCCTCTAGACTAAAAATGAAAATGCACCACTCTGTCCCTGATTTTTATAACCTTCTGCACTCCTTCCCTCCTGGCTGGTGTGTGGATCCCCTTTCTCCCTGGATCACATGAAAGTGTTCTATTAATGTGAATTGGCTGATGTTTGAGAACACTATGCTGGAGAGCTATGAAGTGTAAGGAATCTGACCCAGGGAGCTGTGGGGCTCTGACACATCAGTTCTGCACAGGAATTCTCAGTTGCTGGATGGGAATGACAAGGGACAGGTCCTGTGCACTGGGTGCAGCACGTTGGCACTGTGTTGTTGTTGTTGGGATATGGATTTTTTTTAAATGCAGGGAGACAAGTTCCATGTTAAACCAATGTAACTGGGATTCTACTCTCTGGCTTTTTACTCCAGCGCTGTAACTTCCAAGTATCAGGATGTCCCTTTCACCTGACTTCACAAGCAAAGGTTGGGAAAATTCATCAATCTAGCCCTTGACAAATGTAAATAACAACAGCACTGCTGAAAGTCACAGCTGCCTTGAGGAAACCTCTGCAAGGCAGCACTGCTCTGCATATTTCCTTGGAATCCTTGTGGAGCTCAGGATTTATGGAGAGCCTGGTTCAAGCATGGCTTAAAGAAAGAGGCCATGAAGGTATTCAGCTAAGGGAAAAGCAGCCTTTCCCAGGCTTGATTCTGTAAATAATTAAGGTTCTCAGCCACCTTTTATATAAACAACAAGATTCTCAGACCGTTTCCTCAAAAAAAGGCAATATTCTGTCCTTGGCTGCTCTGGGAACAGATATAAAGGTTTTGAGAACATTTCATATCATGGTGAGAACACTGATCTCGGTTTCAATAAACAAACTTCAGGTCTTGTAAACAAAAGGAGGAGCTGAAGTTTTCTCTACAGCCTATCGGGAGCTCAGATTTTGCAATGTGCATGAAGTGAATTAGCACTGTTATAAAAGGTGCCTGGTTGATCAATAAATCGGAGTCAGATGCTGAACCAACAGAGGTGGGTCGCTCCCTTCACTTCAACAAGGATTAACACTGAAAGCCTAGCAATGCTGGCAGATTACCTGGCAGGATGGAGAGAAGGAAAAAGAAGTCTTCTGCCCCCGTTGCATTCTTCATCCTTGGCCTGTGTGCAGTTTTCCCTCGCCCACACGGGCAGGAGAGAGGGAATGCAGCTTTGTCTTTTCCCTCGTGAGAGGAGATGGAGCTCTCAGCACTGCTTTGCACAGGGTGCTTGGAGATGGAGTGTGAGATGTGCGAGCCTTTCAGGGAACCAGCCCCTGCCACCTCAGCACAGAGCTGCCTCAACCATACACCCCCAAAGCAACGGCACTGCACTGGGGAACCCACACCAATCACAGAAATGTCCTTTAGGCAGAGCAGGTTTTCACTCACATGGTACTTTTATAAATCCTCCCTCGGAATACACTGCTCCAGAAAGGGAAAAAAAACTCCATTGCTTTCCTAATAGGTTGGGAATTACAGGCCTTTAAAGTCATAAATATAAATATGTCCACACCAGCACAAAATATGATGGGATAGGATTAAACCTATCCCAAAAGTGCTTAGGCTTAAGTCAGTTGTTTGCATAGTATGGCAAGGTCCAAGAGGTGATAATTTCTACAGATTGCTATAACAAATAGAGAATTTATTATTTTTCTGTGAATACAGAAATGATTAGCACATTAAAATTTTTATGTCCAAAACATTGCCGTGCAGTTATGCAAAATATGTGCACAAATCTTTATAACACTTACTGGCTTTCTGCTTTTGCAAAAATCTGACATTGTTCCACATTTGCTTTTAATTTGTTTATTCCTCCATTCAAGATGTTCTGGATGGACCACCAAGGCTGCAGTAGTCTGGCTATTCTCCACTCTGAGGCACCACTGATATATGCATATATTTCCTACTCCTTTCTGCAAAGATTTTATTTTATTTTATTTTATTTTATTTTATTTTATTTTATTTTATATTTTATTTTATTTTATTTTATTTTATTTTATTTTATTTTATTTTATTTTATTTTATTTTTCTACATTGCTATTTGATTGTAGGGAAAAAGTGGAAGGTTTTCAGCATTTTGGTCTCCAGCACCATGATTTCCACAAGTTGTAGTAGTGACCTGGTCAGTCTTTCACTTAATGAAACCTTCCAAGTCCTTAAAAAGAAAGGGTTCCTGGTGCCAGTGAGAGTTTGATCCTAACAGGATTTTTTCCTTGACATCTCACCAAACTGGGACTTTATTTTTTCATGGTTCTATTAATAATTGTTCTTTCATGTGTCTCTGAAAATACCTCCTTAGACTGGCACAATGTATATGGTGATGTGATGGGCTGTAACCTAATCCACACTGCTGAGGGAATATCTGGGGCCAGATTTTCACCTCCCACAGGATTATCTGTAAATACAGAAGTAAAAGCTGCTGCAAGAACCAAGTATACTAATTCACACTTCTTCATTACTAAAACAATTTTTTAAAATTACCTACACTCATTAAAAGTTTCCCCTCATCTGTGTTTGCTTGCAGAGCTGGCAGCTGAATGCCAAATATTTCAGATGTTTTATTTCTGATGTTTTCAATCCTGTGCTGCCATGTTTTTAGACAACTAATTTCTTGCTTTCTCTCTTCATCCTGAACAGGAGCATTTATTTTGGGGTATTCAAGGGAAATGCAAAAAGGTTTATGCTTTAAAATCATAAGCAACACTCCTGGGGGTGACTAAAAGGTCTCATTTAAAGACAAATCTTTTTCCATTAATGTCTGGGAACATCTGCTAGCAAATCAGGGATACTCAGATCAGGAGGGCAATTTCCAGAACTGCACAAGTGAATAGATTTGATAGTAAATGAAACAGTGGTGGATCCACATTTTAGGGGCTCTAGATAAGGGCACCATTGTGCTGGGCAGTTCCCAAGCTGAAGTGCACTGTGACTCCCTCTTGTAATTCACTGCTCAGCACCATAAAAAAACCACATTATTGCTCTCTATTTGGAAACTGACCTTTGCTTGCTGAAATACAGTGTCTGTATGATCATGGTATATAAAAATGATACAATTTTACATGAAATTCGGTTGGAGATCTGCTGCTAAATGCCAGAAACTGTACATTCATTTCTGCTCCCTGAGAGGAGCAAAAGAGGGAATGATGAAAACTGCACACAATGAAACTCTCCTGCTACATCTGAAATGTTTATTTTAGGATTCCTCTATGCGTCTCTTCTGACTTCAGTGAGAACAAGGTTTTATGTATATGCATGAATGAGAACTGAATGAACATCAGACAAAAATAGTCTTGGTGTGTAAAGACAACTGGAAAATCTTGCAGTCAGCTGCATGTAGGACACTTTTCTCACTTATTCTTTTCACTATTGACGGCAACAATTGACATAGATACACAGTAATAGCTAGGAAAGCACAGATCTGCTCATCTGGACAAGCAGAACTCAAAACAAAAACGCAGGGCAATGTATTAAGGTATTGTGGAATATTGAGCTTTTATTAAGCATAGTGAGATGACAGTAAAAAATTGTAATTCGCATTTGCTAAGCATGTATTTGCATCTTGAATATTTTTTACCATGTGTTTGTGTACTGCAGTGTACAATGGGCCCTGGTCTTGTTTGGATCCTCTCTTGAGCCTTTCTGTGTCAGCATCTGAAAGCCAGTTACTCATATTGAATTTGCAATGCAAATTTGAAAGCATTCTACAAGTCACACAAAGAATAGAAAATGGTTCAAGAGCTCAAATATAATTTATTAATATTAAACTAAAGTATTACATATTTTAAACAAATATTTTGAAAGGTAGCTTGTGCATAGTTGCAGTCTGTAGTCCAGCTGAAGTACTGGTTTGGGCAAACTGAAGTAGATCCATGTCTATATGCTGAGTCAAGCTGATCTATGAAGATGTTTAAAAAAATACTCCCAAAAATACCTTAAAACCCCCACCACAATAATTAGAACAACATAATAGTATTAATCAACAATGAAGGGCTAAGTGTTATGATTTCCATTTTGCAGGGACCATTTGCAGGAAAGTGATGTTCTCAGCATTATACCTCAAGAGGTACATTCAGTGTTGGGCCCTTCACTAGAGAAAGGACATGGAGGTGCTGGAGAATTTCCAGAGAGCTCTTCTGATGAACGTATGAGGGAGCTGGGAGTTTTGAGGCTCAATAAAAGGATGCTTGGGGGACCTTCATCGCTGATCTGGAGGAGGGTGCAGCAAGGTGGGACCAGTCTCTGCTGGGCCTGCAGCAACCAGAGGAAACTGAGACAGGGATATTCTGACTCGATATCAGAAAATTTGTTTTCACTGTTTAGGTGCTTAGGCATTAGGAATAGGTTCCCAGGGAGGTGGTGGAGTCACCATCCCTGCAGGTGCTCAGGAGGAGCTGGGGGATGTGCTTTAGGGGTTACAGTGACAGCGCCGGGTAGGCAGCTGGACTGGATAATCTTGAAGGTCACTTCCAACCCTGATAATTCCACGATTTTAACCAGATGGTCCTTAAAGTCCCTTCCAACCCAAACCACTCTATGACCCTATAATTTATTTCTTTTGCCAGAGCACAGATCCCTGCTCAGCGACTAGCGCAGGCGTTTCCACGGACCCATCCCTGTATTAGAGACGCTGGGACAATCGCAGCGCTCCTTTCCCTATCGCTTTACCCCGCTCCCCTCAGAAGTTGGTTCTTTTCTCTCTCGCTTTCCCCCTCTCTCCTCAAAAGTTAGCTCCGTTCCTTCTCGCTTCCACCCGCTCCCCTCAGAAGTTGGCTCCTTTCTCTCTCGCTTCCCCTCAGAGTTGGCTGTCCCCGCCTCTCTCCCCACGGCCCGCAGTTCTCCGCGCCCGCAGCGCCCTCCTGAGGCGCCGCTGGAGCAGCGCCCGCAGCTGAGCGGCCTCGGCGGCCCCGCCCACGCCCGGCTTCATGCACCGCCCGCCGCCGCTCACAGCGCCCGGCCCTGGGCAGCGACCGGAACTCCGGGGAAGGGAGTAAATGGCAAAGGAACGCTGAGGGATCGGTAACCGTCCCCGCGGCGAGTCAGAAAGGCCCAACCCTATTTGCTGGGGGACAGGCGGCGCAGAACCGGGGCGGCAAACAGAGCCAAGGTGGAAGATCGCGATCAGAGCGCAGCGGCTCAGCGACCACCGGCGGCGCCCGCAGGCCCCTCCACCAAGACCCTCTGAAGCGAATTGCGCAGGCTCGACTCGGTGGTTGAAGCCCGGCGGACGCGCGGGCCGGCGTCACCCCGGCGGCATCCCGCGGGTCGCGGTGACGGCTCCGCGGCCGCCATGTCGCACTCCGGCAGCAGCGGCGGCTCCGCGCCGGACGTGGGCCGCCGCCGCCGCTCGCGCCGGCCGCACGCGCAGGAGGACACGGTGGAGGCGGAGGCGGCGGGCGAGAGGCTCCGGCAGCTCAACATCGACGAGGGCGACGACAGGGAGCACAACAGGATGATCCGCAACCAGTATCGGGAGCTCATCTCCGCCGTGCAGCGTAAGGAGGCGGCGGGGGCAGCGCCGGGGCTGCGGCTGGGCGGTCCAGGCTGGAGGCCGCTCCTGGGCTTGAGGGGAAACGCCTGGGCGAGGGAGCGTTCCTGGCAACTCCGCTTCCTCGGGCTGACGATGCTCTGGGTTTGGACTTAGATCGCAATTTGACTCCCAAGGAAGCAGGGAATCGTAAATGATGGATTGGTTGGAAGGGACCTTACCGGTGTTCTCGTTCCAGCAGTGGCAGGGATGCCTTCCACTGTCCCAGGCTGCTCCCACCCCTGTCCAGCCTGGCCTTTGGCACTCGCAGGGATCCTGGGGCAGCTACACCTGCTCTGGGCACAGGGCACAGGGAAGAATGTCTTCCTGTATGTGAGGCCATTCTCCCCTGTCCTGTGCAAAGTCCTTCTCTTGCATCCCCTGGGATAGGAGGTTACGAGGGATTCACTGCATTAACACACATGCGGTGCCTGCGCCGGTGCAGGAGCACTTTAGAGATGCGGCGAAATCCTTTAATTTCACTTTGGTGATGTCTGAGCTTTAGTTTGAAACTGCAGGTGTCATTATGTGCCTGGACCAGAAAGTTATTCTTGGGACTTCCAAAAAATGCTCTGTAGTTTTTAGCATTTCTCCAGACAGGTGTGTGAGTCCTTCTCCTATGTGCATTTGAGTGAGTTGTACTTTTTTCTTTACAAAAATGTGGCCGTGGTTGTGTCAGTAGCGCTGCCAAGTTCAGCAACATGTGGGATTAGTTGTTTAGTAAATACCTGATAAATTTGTTCAGTTGTTTTACAGGATGCTACAGTGCAGTTTTTGGGTGATAAGCCTTTTGATAGAAATGACCAAGCATACAGTTTTAGGGACTGGTTAGTTTTTTCCTTGGAAATTCCACTAATTTCCCCAAGTGAAGCCTGTTTTGCCAGTGAGGTGACTGTTGAGTGATCTCTCCCTTATCTAGACGCATGAGCTTTTTGTTCTCTTTTCTCTCCTTGGCCCAGTTGAGGAGTGATGAAGCTTTGGTGGGCACCTGGCCTCCAGTCAGCATCAGACAAGCGCAGTGTTTCTCAGTGCTTCTATGTTTAAGTAATTCAGGATTTCCTTTGTGTCTTTTCCCGCAGAAAATCGAGAATCCATCCTAAGTTCAAAAAGCAACAGGCTGACAGAAGCTTTGGAAGAAGCCAATAGAATTTTTGATGAAGGTAAAAGAAATTCTGTGATCTTTCATTGATGTGTTTGGCCAAGTGCGAGGCCATGATGGCTTACAAACAAAAGAGGGCAAGAGTGAGATCCAAGTACTTAATCAGAATTTTTATATAATTAAAATAGAAATGTTAGTTGAAGATTGGTTGAGTAAGTTGATGTAAGAAAATAAATGTCATTGCAGTTTATTTGCTCTTAGAAATAACTCCTTGCTTTATTTTGATTCACTGGAACAGTGTATATCAGTAATACACATACAAGATAGCAGTGCAGAGGGGTTCTTTCACTTGCAATGGTGGAAAACATGTCAATAAAAATGGATTTGTTGTCCAGGATCATCTGTTACTTCTCCATGGTGTCTAATTCTTTCCCTTTTTTAAATATAAATATTGTTATGAGGATTATGTGTTTTAGAGGTCATCGCAATAAAAGGATTTCCAAAGCACTAAAGCCAGGATAGTCCCTATGCTGAATCTGATAATTCTGTTTGTGACAATTTCATATTAATCACCATAAAATCCTTTCTGTGACAGTTCGCCAGGCACGAGAGGCTGCACTGGATGCCCAGTTCCTTGTCATAGCATCCAATATAGGAAAGGAGAAGGCCAATGAGTTACACTCAGAGATGTCAGCATTTGATTCAACAGCATTTGCAGAAGACTTGGTAAGTTCCACCCCTGAATTGGCCAGCATTTCTGCTGGAGGTTTGTCCTGTTTGTTACAGAACTAAAAAGCCTCAGATTGTCAGGCAGTACTTGGCAGTTCTGGTGGAATTTAATGCTCTTCCTATCAATTTCTTTGATAAACTTTCTGGTGACTGTTGTTAATTGTCTTAAACTACCTATTAAGCACTTGCAGTAGGGGAAAATCTGACTTTAAATGCAAACACCTCCCCCATTATTGCACTGCTGCTCCTTTATCATGGTTCTGTCAGTTTGTGCTCTGAAAGTCTTCTGCTCTTTTTTCAGTCATTCTTCCGTAGTTTCTCAGTAGCTAAGTAGTTTCTTTATCATGTCCACTGGTTTCTATGTTTTTTGATAGAGTTCTTGAGGCCCTGTGTCACTGACATGAAATGGGACTTTGGGAGACTTGAATGCTTTCAGACTGTTTGTCACTGTACTGGGGGGGAAGAGTTGGATCAGAACAGCTTTTAACCAGGCTTCTTTGCTCCTTGAAAATGCTTCCTTATGTTACAGCAGATCAACAAGGAATAATGAGTGTTTGCTTAAGTCTATAAAAAACATAAAGTTCAATTAAAATTTTTTCCTGGGTTAGTGTGCAGTGGTGGATGCAGGGATAGGCCAGATAAGGTCTGTGATACTTGAGGGGCTGGGCTTCCTGTGAGTGTGTGGTGTTCAAAAACTGTGAGACATCTGAGTTCTGAAATGCAATGAGTAATGTTCTGCTACTTCATACATCACTGAAAATGTGTTGGAATCTAAGCAGTTTTGTTTACCTATGGCTTTCATTGGCTGCTGAACACAAGGGTGAATTTCAGCGTTTATCTGTTTTCATGGTGTCCTCAGGAAAGTCAGAGTTCCTAGGCAGTGGTATTAAATGCTAATTTATCAGGCAAACACCACAATTGTGTCACCATGAATGTATCTACTGCTTTACCTCTAAGTCATTTCTCACTGCAGCTTTTTTCTTTTGCAGCTGACCTTCATGGGCATAAATCGCACAGAAGTGGAAGAAGATGATGACTCTGAGGACGTTCCAGGTGGTTTTTTACCCAGTCATGCCTGGCAGAAAATGGGGGAAGAAGCATCCAAGTACTTAAAGAGAGCACCTACTTTTCACTACATGTAAGTTTCTTCAAGGAAATAGCGTGTACTGCAGCTCAAGGTAATGGCCTTGGCTGATTCTTGTCTTTGATGCCCTGGCTTGAATTGAGTTAAACTGAAGTCACAGCAGAGTGTTGACAAGGTATGAGGCTGTCAACATACTGGAACAACTTTTGGGGCTGGTTCTTTGCAGAAATCTCTAAATGTGATGAAGCTTTAGGTATCAGTGGTCACTTTGCACTTTGTTGAGGAGATCTGCTGCTCGGTATAAAGATTCCCAAGCATACAGCGTAAACCAGATTTGCACGTGTGCCTTGTGTTGTGTTTGTAGGGAAGGGTTCTCCCTTCCCTCCCTTGTGCTGCCAGTTATCCCAACTCCTCCCCAGTTGCCTTGGAGATTAATGTATTCTTTCTCAAATCCCTCCTCAGTGCCCTGTCCATCACTCTGCGCTCCCACCCTTTTCTCTAGAACTCTCTAGAAACTTCAACTGGAGCATGGAGTGATTGGCTCAGGGGCCGGGGCTCCATTAGTGTTATCCTCAGTTATCCCCATTGGTGTTCTCCCTCAGTCAATCGTTGCATCCCACTCCCCTCTGAAACCTTATTCATCCAAGGACTGACTCCTCCCTTGTTTCCCTCCCTCCTTATAAGCTGTTGTAACTTCCTGCTCTTTCTCTTGGCTGTGGGTTTCCCCTGGGATCAATAAACCTGCATTTGCCGCAGCTGGACAGCGCGCTCTTATTTCTGCACAGCCACGTCCCACCACAAGGCGGCGCTGCTGTCACAGCACAGAGTGTTTGCCTTGGGCGCTGTCCCGAGGCACGGAGATCGGGATCGTGCCCTCCTGCTGCTAGCAGTGCTGGCCAGCTGGCCGGGACAGCCGAGGGAGACAAGGTTTCTCCAGCTGGAGCGCCCCATGTGTTCTTTGTGTTTTGGTTAGGATGGGATCCTTCAAGTCTGAGCCTCCTGTACGAAAGCAGCGGATTGAGAGGCAGAAGAAAGCTAGCAGAGGGAAAGCAGAACGGGCAATGCCTGCTCAGGTTTGTTAAGTGTTATCTTTATTAACCATTTGTTTGGCATAGTTATTAAAAATTACTTTAAAATGTTTGTTTGTTTTGAGTTTTGTAATTATAAACTGTGTATTTGTGACATCCCACCCTTAAGGGGAGGGGAGCATCCAAGATCCTCAGTGCTTGTGCTGTGCTGTGCTTATCTCCAGAAGCCAGAACAAGGACATTGATCCCAGAAAAGTGCTGCCCTACCTTCATGTGGCTCCTTCCCCAGCTATATCCTGTTGTTTCTCACAGTGTGTGATTACCAGCACTCCTTGGCTGTTATTGCCAACAGTCCTTTGTTGGCTCCACAGCCATCCAGCTGGAGCTGGAGACACACACACCAGCCCTTTCCTTCTGATCTTCTAGTAAAGGATTCACACTCCATTATTAGGCTTCCTGATTTGTTTTGTGTGGACTGCAGTATTTCACTGAGTGGAAGGAAGTAAGATTTACAGACCTATTTCATATTCAGGTGTTGTAGTGTGTTACTAAGTTTGTTGTATTATTTCCCTATTTTATGTATTGTTTCTCCCTGTTAAATGTAAATGGTTCTGCCCTCCCCTTGTCTAGCCCTGCCAGTTAAGTTATCCCCATGGCAACTCCCGCCATTGGGGGTGTCAGTTTTCTTGGTTATATAATTTCTCCTCCATCTCCTACCCATATATGTATATTGTTTCCTCCTCCCTGGGCCCAGTCAATCACCCCCTGTCTGGTTTTCGGCTGTTTGGATGGCTTGGAAAGGCTCGGGGTGGCCTTGAGGCAGCTCGCGCTTCAAAGGATGAGAAGAGGCTTCAAATCTTTTCTCGGTCTCTGTGTTTATTAATTGTTTATCTAAAAGATTTTCTTTCAGCCTGACAGAGGTCTGCTCAGGAGCCAGCCATGAGCACACTCCCTCCCCTCCAGGGCGGTCACTTATTATCTTTATACTCAAAGTTACGTATACAATATTTATAATTTTTCTTCAATACTTTTTACTCTTATTAACCAGTGCACTTTTAGTAATGACTAATCTCAAAGTGCTACTATCACTACAGAAGATGGAGGAGAAGAAGAAGAAGAAGAAGGACAGGACACGCTCTAATTTTTCTATTTTACTTCTCTAAACCCCCCTGTACAGAAATCTTAAACTCTGTGTTTCACTCTCTAATTAACTTATCTCTTCACCATTCACTCCGGTGAAATCCTCCTATCCTCATACAGGTGTCGTCTCCTGTGTAGGATCAAAGTCCAGCTACCAGACACTGCTGGCAACATTCCAGGACTCTTGAGCCCCCCCAAGGGTGGTTTCGGTGACTCGGCACCTCAGTCCTGAGGTGCTGGGATCTCACAACCCCCCACTCCTCCCAACTTTCCAGAGTCTTCTTCTCTCTGGGGGTTGTGGTTGGCTGTGGTCCCCGGACCCCTCCTCTCCTTTGTATTCATTGGATTCCCCTTTACGTCAGTTATGTTAAGTTCATCCCTCCACCCTTCCTGATTGGTTCAGTGTAAACCCCTCCTTTGTACACCCACCCCCTTTATAACCTTGTTTCACCCCAATTTCTTGGTCTCTCCTTGGGGTTTTTCCTTGGGGTCCTTCCCTGGGGCCTCTCCTTGGATGTCATCCTGGGTTGTTCATCAGACCGGACCTAACCCCATGGAGAGTCCAGCTCCTGATTCACAGTCACACTGGCAGTGAGATCGGTCCCAGGCGAGCATGGCCCGAGGCCCTCACACGCCGAGGGGTGCTCGCTGATTGCAGCGGGGTGTCGGCCTGCCCTCTGTGAGCCGGACCCATCCCAGGCCAGATACACCCTCGCCACATTCAGCAGTAGGGTTTACAAACTGATTTTCAAGTTACCAGCTTACTTGTTCAGTTGCCTGTTGCTTAGAAGGAAACAAAAAAGAAACTTCTTTACATTAGTGTGGTGTTCATGTTTCTTTAAGAAATGTCTAACAGGGTGTGGCATTTGCACCAAAATGTGGTTAATAGCAGCAAGCTAATTAGCTGACATAACCACTTTTTTGTGTTTTCTGTTTTCTTTTTCTTTGTGTCATTCACTAGCAGAAAAGCAAAAGTCTGGGAACACTGCAAGAGGCTTACATCTGAAACTGCAAATATAATCCATGTTGTTACAGGGAAGCCTTGGCTGTGATAATGCCAAGATATAGAGGCAAATGGTTGATTGCTACCTTTTCAAAGGCAGCCTGCTCAATCCAAATAGTGCTAGAAAGGATTTGTTACAGTTTGTACTGGGAAGAAGAGGAGCTGGACGGTTTGTGGGTTGCTTCTAAATGCTCATCTTCATTAAACTGACAGACTGTAGCACTGTGTGACCCAGCTCCTCAGAGCTATTGAAAAGTAAGGGTACACCTGTACATAGGCTCAAAACATGCAAACCATGGCCTTTCAGATTGACATTGTCACATGGGAATTAAACCTAAAGCTCTTCAAAGTTGTCTCATGTTTGCATAAGTGTGTTTGTTATGTTTGCATGTAGGGAGAAAAATTCAATTTTGTTACATGTTCAAAAGAAGCCCTTTGTATATTCTGGTAATTCTACAACAGTTATTTGAAGTGAATCTCTGTTTCTTTTTCCCAGTTAAAAGAAATGGAGCAGTCTCATCTAGAAGCTACAGAAAAAGAAGTAGAGAGGATCTTGAGAATACTGCAAACTCATTTTGAAAATGATCGTAAGTATGATTAAATTAAACATTAACTAGGGAAAATGAATGTTCTCTGTCTTCTACAATTTGGAATGGTAAAACTACAGAGACAAAATGAGATGAAGTCTGCAAGTAGATATCTTTGGTGAAGCACATATTCTAACTATGTATTTTTTATGAACACTAATCAGCTGTTGTTTGACTGCAAAGTAAATGCAAAGCTCCTGATTAAATTCTGCCACTTTTAGATGGCAGTTAAATAGTCAAATATATGGATTTGTGTGGGGGAAATGATGGAAGAAAATAATACACTACATAATCTACTCTGTAGAAGATCTGTTACTGCAGGCAACTGGGAATTCTGGATTATAACTAAATTGAAAAACATCCCTTTAGCTTTTGAAAGGTGCACTGGCTCTCTTAAGTTTGTATTTACATCTGTCAGGTCTGTGTGTACCACCTGTTTGTTTATTTGGTTGTTTGAACAAAGGTATTTTTGCATCCCCAGCTAATACATCCATTTCCTTCTTTGATTTTGTGGTTGATCCGAACTCGTTTGCACGGACTGTGGAAAATATGTTTCATGTGTCCTTCCTTGTCAGGGTAAGGCATGATGTCTTTTTAAAATATCCCTTTAGATACTAGAATTTCCTGGAAGTAGTGACCTGGCTTTGATACTGAAGAATTAGGATTTAAATAGTAGGAATACGAATTTCTTTTCTGCAAGCAGAACTGGTAATCAAATTTGGTAATCTTTGATTACTTTGGTAATCAAATTAGAAAGGAAACAGAGTTGACTGACTTTATTTCTTTATTTCTTTCTTTATTTCTTATTTACCATTGACTGTTGGTAAATTGCAGTCAATTTACCAACAAAACAGTAGTGATATTTTTGCAGTCAATATGTTTATCAAAAAAGATTCTGGCTCACATTTTCTGCACATGTAGAAAAATTCTCGGAGTATGGAAGAGTTACTGAAGCTGTAGAAAACTCTGTTAGTGCAAGGTTTTATATTCTTTTTGAATCCAGGGATTTACACTTCAAAACTGTGCTTAGTTTGAGTAATGAGTAAAATTAATTATGGAAAAAATGAAACCTGCCAAGAATATTTTGACTAATTCAGGTTTCATGTTGAATAGATACATTATTATATAGGGTTAGCTCAAGTATATTTAGAGAATAGCAATGATTTAAATAAAGCATAACTTTTATAATCCAGCAGTTACACATTGTTGCTATATGGACTGCCTTCTTTATGCATAAGTGCTGTATTAAACTAGTTTTTTCTTATGTGGTATTCTTTATCAGTATATGTACCTGTTCATGATTATGTAATAAGTAAAAATATGAATTTTCAGTGCGTCATCCTAACTGGAAAACTCTTAAGTTATAAAACTTTAAATCCCACTGTTGTTTAGGATGGTCTTGCAGAAATAAAGCTGGATGAAGATGAATTGCCAATAATAGGTAAAATACAGCTTTAAAATATTCTAATTGTAACAACATTACATGTTGCATGTTCACAAAGTTTTTAGGTATATTTTTAACTGGGGATATGCAGTGAATGTAATTGAAGGTATGAAAGCATTTATGGGCAGCTGAAAGGATTGAATCTTTTCAAATATTAATATATGAAAAAGACCATACAAATTAATTCCATTAATAGAAATCAAAGGTTATTACCTTTCAAGATGTATTTTTGCTAATAAGTAATGAACATTATTACACTTGGCTGAACAAAGATATCTTTGGGTGTAAGAACTCTCTTGTCTCAGAGTTGGGAACTGCTGCAGCTTCAAAACAGTTGGAAGGGAAATCCTTCATTCAAGGTTGAATGAAGAATTCATTCTTCATTCTTCATACAAGATTGGCTTTCATTCCCATAGGATGTCAGTGGGGTTAAGACTTTGGTGGGATATTGTAAGGAATGAAATATTTAGGTCCTCCTGAAAAAAGTTAGTCCTAAGTTTTTAAGATGGGTGACTATGAAAGTATCTCCAGCAGTACATGGTACAGGCTGCTGATTGAGACTAACTGGGTGGAATGTGTAGGATTGATCTGATTTTTGTGAAGCTTTTGTGTGGAAACAGACTTGACAAGTGTAAATGCTGAAAATGCTGTGTTTGGATCAGAGCCTGTCAAACCCAGAGAGGGGGAGGAGGAGAGCAGAGCTGCAGCACGGAACCAGGTGGTCATAAGTCTGGACCAGAGCCAATGGAAGGTACCATGGACAGCACTTCATGCTTTGGAGCAGTTCTGTTTTCTTTTTTTCTTTAAGCCTCTGAGAGCTGTGCTGGGGAGGGCAGCTGTTCTGTGTGCAGAAACAATGCTCTTGACCTTATGGCTGCCAGAACAGTCACAGATCTAAGGGATGGTTGTAGCTGCAGGAAAACTGAGAATTTGGGTTGTGATGCCATCTTTGATTCCTGAAGCCTGGTCAGTTTAAGTGTTTTCAAGCTGTGCACTGGCTTCACTGTTTTATACAAGGCCTGGGTCAATATGGTGTTGAGAATTTAGTTGCTAAAGACTAGAAAAGTACAAAACCATGGCTAATTCCAAGTCCTGCACCTGTGAGATAGCAGTGTCCTTGGAGCCTAGCTGTAGTAAGATAACAAACAGTGAAAGAGACATGAGAAAAGAGACATGTAACCCCTAAGGAATGAAGAAGAGTTGATGGTATAGTTTAACCAATAGATTGCTTA